GGCCTGCTCTTCCATCTTTTGTTTTCCTGTAATTCCATAAAAATGGCTCCCCAAACTCCCTGGGACAGGGAAAGGGCTTCTTCTGGGCTGGAGACCCTGTGGCCTACAGTCTTGCTGAGGGATTAGGGGAAGGTGTGACTCAGTGACATCCTCTCCAACCCAATAGCACCCTTGCCCACCCCAACCCTCCTCCGGAAGTGCAAGAACACCAAACAACTCTGTTCAAAACAGTTTATTTTTATTTTTTTTTTGTCAGACAAACACATTGATTTCTGGACCACAGTAGAGGATGGAAACCTTTCACAAACTTATTTATTTGAAAATACAAATATAAAATTATACTTTCCACATCTGTGATGTGAGAGACTGCCATCCACATAGTAATTTTTTACAACAGGGCTTTAAGAAAGCCACACACAAAGACCTGAAAGATGCTTGAGAGATATATATATATATAGATACATATATATGTATATATATAAAAAAAATACTCACTACCAAAGTTCTCATCAGTTTCATACTAAAGTATAAAAGTAAGGGTGAGGTCAGCCACAGTGCTAGGGAAAGTTTTATTTAGATACATTTATGTCCACATGAAACGCTTAGACTTGCATCTATTACATATGGAATTCGGAGTTTACCACACACCATGAACGGCAGATTGGCTAGCCAACGCTACTCAAGAGCACACTCACAGACTCCACACGGGATGGCACAGTATGTACAGAATACAGTAGTCGGAGCCTTCCATGGAGGCTCTGGAACTTTTGTCTCTCAGTCCCATTCCCCTCCCTCCTCACGACCTGCCTCCCAGAAATAAATCCTATCTGAGAAAATACATTCTGATCAGTAGATAAGGTTATTCCCCCCAGAGGGGTGGGTTTCATTGAAATGTTTTTGTATTTCAGTTTGCTTATTTTTTTTTTGGTGAAAGAAAAAAGTAAAGAAAAAGAAAACAAACATAGTATAGTATTAAAGTATTGCTTAACTTTCAGGATCGCCTTGTGTAGTGTCTGTGCCCAGGACTGGGCTGAGAGGCCATTTGCTTGCTTTCTGTCCTAGGTGAAGGTGGGGGAACGCGCCAGTGTCTCGTTCAATGTGCTTACTCGCAGCCTGGCCCTCTTCTCTACCCTCTGCCTGGCTGGCTTTTGCCTTTCTTGGAAGATCTCCTGGCTGGTGAAGCACATTCAAGAAAAAAAAAATTCTCCCCTCCCTCACCACTTGCCCCTCAGGTTCCCTCTGTCCCTGTGTGTCACTTCTAACTGATAAAGAGAAGTATGAGTTAGTGTTTCTTTTGTAAACAATTTCATATGCAATATAATACAGAAAGCATGGCTGACCTTCGATAAAAAATGTAGTAAACTATATTGCTTTATTCTTGAATATGCTGCAGTGAGTGAATGGCAGAATGAAGCAGTGTGGTCGTGGTGGTGGAGGCTAAGTCCCTAGCCCTCGTTTGCACTAAAGACCAAAATAGGTTTTTCTTTTCTGTTTGGAACCAAAAATATTTTTTTTTCCCCCAGAAATCCCCAAATAAAAAAAGAACAACCAAAAGAAAAAAAAATTTGAAAAAAAAACCCAAAAAACAAAAACTGAACACCTTTCAGGTCATTAGAACCAACAATTACCCAATGATTTTTTTTTTATACTAGTCTAGCAAGATGTGTGTAACATTCACTGGCTGTGAATTGCTGTGCAGTGAAACATTAAATTGACAGCAATCGAGCCATGCTACCTTAAAGCCCAAGCTACAAATTCAAATTAAGATGATGGTTATGAAGGATTAAAAAAAAAAAAAGCAAAGGCCCGTTGGGGCTTCCTTGATCAAGCCAATGAGCGATTGGGATTGAGTGTGAGGCTGTTTGGTTTTCCCAATGGGTGTGAGGAAGGCCACGAACCATGCCTGCAGAGGCTCCTGGAGAGGAAAGCCAGGCTTGGTCATCTCCATCAGCCCCACATCCAGGCAGGACAGGACTGGGACCAGGAGCTGCTGCCATTCACTCTCCCCTGCTTGGGAGGAGAGGAGCTCAGGGTCTCTGGCAGATGGATCTGGAAACCAGAGTCCCTGGGGGACAATATGATAATGCTGGGGAAGAGCCATCAGCCAAGAGGATTTCTCCTCCAGGGAAGGCTGAAAGATGGTTCCCACATTCGTCATTGAGCTTAAGTGAAACAAAGACAAGGCTGGACATCAGTGCTAAAAGAATTTACAAAAATTGTTCAAACTGAACTTCTAGATGAGGTGGGTGGGAAGTAATGTGAACTTTAACCTAGGTAGCCACATTAAAACATATCAAGATTTCCACGAGATTTGTGCTATGGGCTACTGGGTCTCTTCAAAAGGTATATAAACATTTAAAACATATTCACACAGATTATCAATTTCTTCTGAGCATTCTTAAAAAAATATTTTTTTCTCTTAGTAAAATCATTTTAATATACCATGCCTCCCTCTTTTAAAAAATAAATTAAAAAAATCCAGTTTTGCATATCTAGCGTTAGCGTTTAAGGTAGTATGGCACACCCTTCACAGTGAGGGGAGTGGGGAATCTACAAAACACCATCGAGCTGGCCGGCATTTGAACATGGTGAGACCTTGGGTTAGGTGAAACCTCATCAGATCAGCAAAAATAAAATTAAACTTGAAATTGAAAAAAAAAAATTAAAAGGAAAAAACTGCCCCAAAATTATTAGCATTTTTTTCTTTTCATAAATAAGAGAAAGTTCTATCCTTACTGGTCCTAAATCTGAATAACTATGTCTAATTTTTTTAAACCTTAATTACGTTATACCTATCAATATGTACTAGAAGAAAGAGGAGAAAAAAAGTCACTACGCTAGTACCAGGACAGCACGCTTACAAGATAGCCATTTTATACACTATTAACAGACAGTGATCAACAAAGAGTCTTCTATGAGGTGACAGGGATGCAGAGAAAAGGAAGGGGGTACAGTACATCGCCAGCGTGGACAAAACAGCAATCGATTCTCTAGCTAGACACTGAATTTCTGGAAATTTAGTGTCTTTTTTTTTTTTTTTTTTAAGAAAACTTCTATTTTCTTATTATATGATGAGAACAAGTTTGATATCTTAAAAGTGTCCAGCATTTTACTTAACCTGGTTGTTTGGAAATTAAAAAAAAAAAGGCAAAAAAGCAAAAAAAAAAAAAAAAAAAAAAAAACCCAAAAACTAAAACACCCAAATCCCCAAAACCCTTACCAAACAACCTAGCATTTTACTGGAAAGAACATAATTTTCTGTTTTTTTTTTTTTTTTTAAAAAGTTGCTGTTTAATTAGAATTGAAACAGGCTTTTTTTCTTTCTTTCTGAGTTAGCATTTTAGAGACAATTTGAAAATGCTTTTGCCCTACCATGTCTGTGAATGTCTACATTAGTCTACTTTGTTAGTAAAATTTATAAAAACAGGAGTGCAGCAGCTCTTTATAATAAATGTCGTATTCAGTGTCTCATACTGGCTGTGCCTAAGTACCAAATTTATAAACGTAACAATTTAAAAAATATTAATAAAACGTCAATATCACATTTTAAAAAAGAAAAAAATATATATCCACACTACAGTATGTTTTAATGCCACCTATTGAGTTGTACTTCTTATAGTTGCTGTTGCCGACCTATGACCAAATATTTAAAAAAAAGTTAAATTAAAAAATATCCTTCATCATAAGTGTCTCTCCCCAACCGAGGACCATATATTATAACAGCCAAATAAAGATGTGCAAATAGGAAACTGTCAGTTTTTCCCACCAGTCACAGTGCAGTGATGTTTATACATTTTATTCTTAAAATTCTGTTTACATCTACAATAAATTAAAAAAAAATTCTTCCATAGCCTCTCTGGTGATACTTGCAGCACTGAGGTATTAAAAAATATATATAAACCAAAAGGTTGCTTTCCTAATTTGTAAATAGAAAGTGAATGGAGAAAAGTTGGTAAGGTTGTATTCATGCAGGTTTATCCACTCCTGGCCCAAGGGCCCCCAGATCTGGGGGTGGGGTGGGGGGTGGGGGGAGGAGAGAGGCAAAGTATCCTAGGAACCTTTGGAGGTGCTGAAATGATTGGACAATAGAAAAATGATCAGACATTTAAAAATTAAGACTGAAAAAGAAATGTCCCCCACCCTTCCCCCAAGCCAAACAGGTGTGCTTTGAAACTTTAAATATGTTAAATATTAAAATTGTAGCTTTGTTTTTTAAAAAACGTCTTGGGAAAAGCAGTTTTTCATATTTTAAATAAAAATCTAGCTAGACGGTAACATTTGAAGCTGTGCACAGACACAGACGAGAGGTTGATAGGCTGGTAGGATACTAATAAGAGTTCTTAGGTCTGTCATACCCACGAAGGAGCTAAACAGTGCTCTACCATGTCCTGGGGTCGTCCAGGCAGCTGGACTTCAGGCTCAGTACCAGATCTTGTCAGTGCTCCCTCCCCTCTTCCTTCCAGAGCATCAAACTGCCTGGGACCGACTCCCTCACAAAAATATTTTTGATTCTCTCTTTCTTAATAGTTTCTATGTAGTTAATGAAATTGTATTTACAACATTTCTTGGATTTTTTTTTTTTTTTTTAGAATTCACAATTTCAAAAAACCTTATAATATGACCTCTTTCAACAGAAAAAAAGCACTTATAGAAAAGGAGGACACTCAAAACATGGTCATCCTTACCTTATTGCCGAAAATAGATATACTTAGGTTAACAAAGAGACATCACAAAAAAGAATCGCTAGAGAGTCTGTTAATTAGCCTACTACATTTCACTTCTACAACACAAAGTAGAAAGTTTATGCCCGCCTCCCGCTCCGCACTTGACAACTTCGCTTCAGTGTGCTAAAGTTCCACGTGACAATTCATACAGTCTCAGAATTGGTACCAAGATATGGAGAGCAACATCACCATCTCAGCATCCTTTGAAAGTGGGAACAGAACCAAAACAAGCAAAAAAAAAAAAAAAAAAAAATTAAAGAAAAAAAATAACTCCTTAATATAACAATTATACTATGGTTAGCTTTTAACTAGATATTAAAGCTAGGTGACTACTGAGCTAAGTGAAAATCACCACCAAATGTGATTCAAAGAGATTTCAAAGGAGAAGGGGAAGAGAGAAGGGGAAGGGAGACCACCAAGGAAAAAAACCAAACCAAACCAAACCAAAATCATGGGTTATATACACATTTAAAAGCTGTTGTCTTATATTACAGCAGATGAGATGATGAGACACAGTCAGCCCTCAATCCGAAGTGAGCCATCTCTGGGTAGGATGAGGAGTGAGGCTGGTGGGGGTCCAGGTCTGAGGACATCACCTAAACAAAGGGCCACTCAGAAACTTCGCCCAGTCTTGCCTGGACATCCAGGTATGCTCTGTAGGGCAGGAAGGCCAGGAGTGTCCCGAAGAGAACATAAAGTGGGGGTGGGAAGAGAAAGAAGTGTCAGGCAAGTAGGATTTATTCCAAGGTTTCCACTAGAGTTTTGAAGGACTGGGTTGTGTGACTGAGTGTGTGTGAAAATGGCTGGGGTGGCTAGATTTCTGAGATCACAGCTTGGGAAATCTGATGTCTAAGCCACAACCTGATGCTAGGAAAAGGAAAGAACTGGAGATTTCTTTTTTCCTTCCTTTTTTTTCTTTTGGCAATTTGGGGATTGAACTCAGGGTCTTACTCTTGCTAGTCAGGCGCTATACCACTTGAGCCACACCACCAATTCCTTGGGTATAGAGAATTCTTGAGGTAATGGTGGAAGTGTGGTCAGCAGGTGTGGTCATTCTGGGTTGCTGGCTACATAGCTGAACTGCATATTGACTGGAGATGCTTTTTCTCTTTAAACTTAAAACTTCTGCCTTTAGAAGATACCCATCAATGACTGAACACTGAAAATGCAAATTTGTACTAACAATCACATTATACACCAAGGGACTGAGGTCAGGACACTGAAAAAAAAGTACACAACAAATAACCAGCTTTGCTTGGAGAAAACCAAAACAGGCCCAGGATTCACAGACTTCCTAGTTGAGTCTCCCCGAATTGACCATAGACCTGGGCTCTTCTTTTGTGGATATCAGAGGGTCACCTCTGCTGGGGACAAAGTGACTGGTCCTTAGGTACTGTGGTGCAATCTTGTAACTCTACTGCCTCATTCCAAGGGGTGGGCTGCTGCCTCCCTCTTTCTGTCCCTCTCTGGAAACTGAGAGTTGGGAGTTGATGAGGGAGATGGGCTGGAGCAGCAGCCGTCTTGGAGGACATCATGATGTGTGCAAGAAGCCCCGTGCTCCTTTTCCCAGGGAAGGAGGCATTGGCAGCCCCAGTGACTGGCCTACCAAGGACCTGCTGTGTTGGACAGTGTTTGGTCCCCTCTTCGTCTAACTCCACAAGGGCTGGCACTTGTCTTTAGCCTCCTGAGTTCTTGGATCCATCAGTCCTTCCTGGTCTCACAGGGAACTCTACTGCTCCTGGGCCCCCAAACCCAGCTTAATTAGTAGCAAGTAGCTCTCTTTCAAACTGTTAGTGGCCTCTGGCTCCGGCCAGCGATGGCTGGGTCAGTGCTGGAAGGGCAGTGGAGGCGAGAGGTGGGGAAATCCACACACATGGCTTATTTGGTTAAGAGAGGCAGTTGCGTTAGTTGAGGTGCTTCCTTTGCAGCAACATGGGAGAAATCTGACAGATTTATGGAACTCAACTCAGCCTGGTTCCCCAGCTGGTTCTGTGCTCTGGAGTCTTGGCTGGCTCGGGATTGGGAGTAATCCCCCTCTACGAGAGAGGCAGCCCATGAACTGCAGTCCCAGAACCGGTTTCTACTATGTCCCAGCTCCAAGAACTGGTGGACTTTTCCAAGTGGAACTCATTCCCAGGACTCACTCAGCTGTCACCTTCCCTCTTCCAAAGAAACAGATCTACCTTTCTACCCCCTAGCTCACAGGCTAACACAGAGCACAGCTAGTGATTTCACGAGGACAACTCCCCTCCTCCTGGTGCTCTCTGCAAGAATGACAAATGTTCATTTTTGGAGAATGTGGCGAGAGCTTGCTCACTGCCTGCCCCAGCCTCCCGCTCCTCCGTTCCACCACCTCCGTATCCCCATCAAAGTGATTTAAAAATGTTTAATTAACTTGAGCTCAGTTTAAAAGGTTAGGAAACTGGCAGGGATCCAAATCCACGTTAGGCAGGTGATGTCGTTAATTTAATTTGCTTTTCGTGCGGTAATCTGGATAATTACTCCGTAGTTACTAGGAAAAAATGTTTTCTTTTCACTAAAAGATGGATTCTGGCTGTTTGACTGCATGAACCCCATTGGTTGAGTCCCAGTGAGTCTAAAGGGCCCAGCAATCCACAAGGTCAGCTGGGAAGACCTTCAGGAGTAGCCCTGGCCCCTTGTCCCCTGCCCCAGACCTCGCAGAAGTGCATTTTCTCTGCCTCCATCCCCCTGGGACGGGCACAGTGCAAGATCACCTTCCAGTTTCCCACACTCTTGATTATATTTCAAGACAGAGAAAGATGAGGGTGGGAAGATATAGAAATGGAATCAAAAGAACCAAAAAAAAAGGGAAAGAATGTGAAAAAGAAAAGGCAGGGGTCATGATTAAAAGCTGGAGGAAGGGACAAAAGATTAAAAGACCAGATTTTTTTTCTCGCCCCCACCTCCCTGGAAAGGGGTCCAGAAAGAGGAGAGAGATGTGATGCAATGAGACAGGGCATGCGCGTACATGTATGAGCAGGGCACATACGTGTACGGACACGCCAGCAGGGCGGAGACGCATGGCAGAGACGGTAATACCTCAGAGTGAGATGGCAACAGAAGCACCTGCTCAGTGGTATCCGTTTGTAAAGGCCGTTGCAATCAAAGGTCCCTAAAATTGCACAAGTGTTAAGGTCATCAGTGCGCTATCAACGGGAGCAGACTGTCATATTCCGGGAAAGGAAATTATCTCTAGGACTAGTCTGTGGTTGCCAGCATGAATATGTAATTCTGAGACACCGTGCCATGAAGGGTCAGGGTGACACCCTCCACCGCTCCAACCCTTCCAACCCCCAGTTCCTTCACCCAGGGATGTCTGCCTCCCTAGGGTAAAACAAGAGAGTGGGTGATGGGAAAGGGGGGCTTATGCTCAAAACAATGGGCACCATTACCCTGCACCTCAAAGGGCAAGAATAAGGGTCTCTGTCTGCAGTCCCAACAGCTTGAGCTGGGGAGAAGAAATCTCAGTGCAAACTATGATGCTACATGGTTATTTCAGGAAAACAAAAAACAAAAAACAAAAACAACAACAACAAAAAAAACCCCAGCAGGATCACATCCCAAGACCCAGGTTTTCAGGAACAAACAGGGTTTGTGTTTCTGGATGTTGAAAATGGAAATGAGTTGTGTTCTAAGTGGTGATAGACAGTCCCCCAAATTGATGTAGCTCTCGGATGAATAGTAATGTTCTGGATTTGGTACTATAGTTGATCTGAGGGGATAAGACTCATCAAATTACTGACTTGAGTGACACTGGCTTGGGAGTGGAATTGAACAAGGACCCAGGTAGATAGGCTAGGGCTGGCAGATGTGCACATGTGTGTACCTCAGTGTGTGCCAGTGTGAGAGTGTCTGTGTGGGTGTTGGGGGGGAGAGGGGGAAAGGCGGAGGGAGAGAGAATGTGTGCATATGTGTGAGAGTCATGGGCTCCTGCAGCACAGATGAGGCCACCCTGGTGCCCCAGGCTGTCTGCACTGGCTTTGTTCTCCCCAGCACAGCCTCCAGGCAGAGCTCCACTGCGGATGCAGAGTCTGACAGGAACTTGACTTGGGACAACAGATACTCCCATCTCAGCCCTGAACCACACTGCCTCCAACCAACTGAGGTTGGCTAGTTTTGTTTCCAAAATGGAGGGGACAGCGAGCAAGTGGGCTCAGGCACATTCATGCTTACATACCGGGAGGGAGAAGAACAATACAATCTGAAAACAGCATGCAAATCTGTTAAGCAAATTTCCATTGCCTGGATTAGTCAGATTATAGAACCACAGAGCATTACAAATATCAAATGCATCTGGCCTTCGGGGGGCTGCAGCTAAAGAATGCAAATGGGAACTTACTTGGATCCTGGAAACTGTAAGAAACATTAGCAGAGGAAGTGGCCTGGGACGGGGGTGTGCCCCCAAGCCCCTCCCAGGCCCCAAAGCTGCCATAGAAAGTAGGCTGGGAACCCTGCCAACTAATCTTGCTACTCTTGAGGTGAGGGAGAGCATGACACTGAGGCCCTACGGTGTGGCAGCATGGGGTGTACACGGTTTCTGCTCATTCTTACCCAGTCTTTGGAGGAAGGCATCCTGTTTTTGTTTTACAGTCGGGGATATGGGTCATATAAGTGGCTCAAAGTTGCAAAGGCTGAAGGTGAGATGGTATGAACCTGAACCCTCTATGCACCTTGCACTCTGTCACCAGGCCACTCAGAAGGGGCTCAGGACACATCTAGATAGTGGAGCTTCAGCCTTCAGTAGCTGGGGTGATGTTAATGGGGAGCTCCTGTTCTCTCCTCTGTCCCCCTAACTCTGGACATTCCTCCCCCTAGACTGCATGGAGTTGGTCAGGAAGAAGGAGATAAGAAGGCAGGGAGGCAGGTACTTACAGCAATGCCGTGGCCAAAGCCCGAGCCTGGCTGTGGGCTGGCCGCACTTATGTAATTCCCCACTCCGGAGTCCTGGCTGGCAGGGCCGTAGAGATCGGCGACAGGTCCTGGGCTGTTGGCCCCCGGGAAGCCTCCGGGCCGCGCCGGGTTGGAGCCTGCCGGGGAAGCGGGCGCGCCAAAATTCGGTTGAGCACTGTAGCTATTCAGGACTGGTGTGCAGAGAATAGAGCTGGGTATGAGGCCAGAAGCCAGGCATGCACCGATCATTACAAGCCAAACACTCGAGAAAAACAGCTGAGGCCCAACTTCTAACACTCAACCAAGGCCATGCGAAAACATCAGCAGGGACTCAAGAATACTCAGCCCAGGCTACTACTAAGAAGCTTGGAGCTCCAAAAATAGAGAAGAAAAAAAACGATCATTCAACACACTACGGCAACCAACCGGAGGTGCTTCACTGCCCGCCAAATTATCACAATAGAAATAGAAATATATATGGAGAAGAGAGAGAGAGAGAGAGAGAGAGAGAGAGATTTTTTTTTTTTCACATCTGAATTGACGCTCATGCAGTCTTCTAGATCTGGGCACGTTGAGACAGCATTCACATCCCATGCAAACTACAAAGGAACTAGTTTTAGACTACACATTGTGTTAATATTGATATTAAAACGTGACAGGAAAGAAAGCAATTTGTGTCTAGGAAAAAAAATCTTTGGGGAGGGGAAATTTATTTTTGTGTGTATATTTCACTTTTCTTTCCTTTTTTTTTTTTTTGGATCCATTAAATGGCCATAAAAAAAAAAGAGAAAAAAGATCTCCATTCTGCATTCCTCCCCCTACCCCCTTCCTCTCCCCACTGACTACTCCCTCCCTCCCACCCTTCCCATTTAAATCCCTGCATGAAAGTCGGCAGTACTGAGGTGGTCAGAGGATGGGATATGTCATGGAAAGTTCAGGCATCTTCACGGTAATGATGGCGGCAGAGGTTCCCTTTTAGGGTGGAGAGCAGGGGATGGAGGGAGGGAATGGGGTGGGAATGGTAACCTGACAGTTGGGCCAAAGCTAGGGTGGAGCCAGTGGTCCTACAGAATACCCACACACTCACCTCCTGCAGTAGAAGGAAAGGGAGGGATTTAAACTTTTTTTTTCCTTTTGTTAAAAAAAAAAAAAAAAAAGACAAAGAAGTATGAATACAGAGTATACCAACCGAGCCAGTTTATAGCTAGAGAGGATCTGATTGAAATGCTTGTTTCTGGTTAGTTCTCCTCGGATGTACATAAACTTCAGTCTGAGAGAATGAAAGCTCAGAACACACCTTAGCTACAGAGGCAAAACCCAGAGAGTGGTGGAGGCTGAGTCTGCCTTAGGCTCCCTTTTTATCTCCCCCAAATCCCATCATGTTCTCCCAATGAGGGCTCCACCCTGTCCACCTGGTAAATTTTGTCTCATCTTTATTTCCCTTAGTAGCTTAAAATTTATTTTCTTTTTCAAAATAGAAAAAAAATTCCATTGTAAAAGTAAGCTTTCATTGTTTTTTAAACCTCAAGTTGAGTGTGGGGCTGGTCACTATTGGATGACAGCCTGTCTTGAAAAACCAGGCAGTCTGAGCACCACACATTTGCAAGTCTTCATCTCTACAGGGCTTCAGGCTCACTTCTCCCTTCTGCCTCCGCTGGCATCTCTCTCTCTGCCCTATGACAGCTGCCTTCCATGGCAGAAGGAAAGAACATCTCAAGTGCAGAATAGTTGCACCTTCCTGGGGGACCCTCACTTTTCCTGTGGCTCTTAAGAGCCACAAGTGGATTGATTTTCACCCACTTGTCAAAGGGGTGGGAAAAGACTGACCATGCACCACACCAAGCTGGCAGGAGACTGAGAAGGGGACACAAGATTCAAAGAGGAAAATCCAAGCTGGGTCTGGCTCCTGACTCAGCAGAGAAAATGGATATGCCACCTCTGGATGCCCTTGGGGCAGGAGGCCCCAAGGTGAGTCCCTTTAAGTCCTAGCCTAGAAGAGAATAAACAGGTCAATGGAGACAGCAGGTTAAGGACAAAAAGAAAAAAGAAAACTAGAGGCTTATAAGCAAGCAAATGGCCTATTTGGAAATGCACTGGCAGACAAAGGGGACTGGGATTTTTGATTATAGAAGATTAAACTTGCAGATAACATTTGGCCCTTCTTACTCATGGAGGCAAATATCAAGCTGAGATATTCAAAAGGCAGTATTATCTTGGTTGAACACACTTTTTTCTTCTGGGCTCAGGAAATTCAAAGAGCTCAGACGCTGGACTCTTGGTTTACCCAGGCAGGTAAACCCTTCCCTCTATGAAGGAATGATCTAGCCTGTTCAGATTTAGGGTAAGTGGTGGGCTGAGGATAGGGAGGTGCAGTGAAGACTGACAGAAAGATTTTTCAGCTTCTGTCACCTCTGGCAGGATGTGGATCCAAGATGTTGGGGAAGTCCACCTATCTGGGGAGTAGGGAAGAGGGCAGGTTCAGTGTGGCTCCTTCCAGCAGGGAGAGGCCCCTACAGACTAATCCAGCCAGAGGAAGAAAGTCTTGGAGACAGGATGCAGCATGCCCATGGAAGAATGCTGACCAGAGATCCCCTTCTGGAGGGGGGATGAGAAGGCAAGAGGGATGCTGTTGTTAACGCCCATCCCTGGCAACCTCTCTGGTTCCCCTGTGCACAGAGGCCTGGTACTTAAGATTAGGCCTGCAGGGAATTTGACAATAAGCAGTTCATCCCAGGTCTCTATTACCCCTCCTTGCTCAGTCATCCTCCATCAAATAACACTCAAATCTCTGTGCAGAAGGCACTGTATTAGAATGCAGCTTCAAAACCCCGAAGTCCCTTTTTTTATGCATTTGCTCATCATCACACATGAGACCCAGCTCAAAGTCACCTTGCAAATATCCCCCAGCCAGGGATGAAAGATGCTGGGTCCTCACCAGAGGGCGTACTGGGCCAGCAATACGCACCCAGTTCTGGGCTGTCCCCTCCAGAGGAAAAGGAATCTGTGCTCTCAAGGGTCAGCCATGAAGGACAGATGTCTCCAAGCTCCACAGTCAACACCTGCCTCTGCCTTCGCCTTGGCAGAAGAATCCCGCTCCAGAGAGCATATTAAAGTCCCCGAACAAGCCATCTGCAAACTTGTGTATATTTGGGAATACTAAAAAAACCACCACCATTCTGGCTGCTCAGGAGAGAATGGGGATGGACACTTGGGCACATAAACTTGTCAGTAGCTATTTCTGCTGGCTGATGGTGGGAAGGCATCAGGAAAAAAGTAATTTTCTTTTTTGGGGAAGTCAGAGTAACTCCATATGGGTACATGGTAAAGGGGGGTCATCTGAGAACCCTCCCTCTCCCTCTAAGCTGTGAAGAGACAGGGGGTGGGCGTGACGCCAAGTCCCTGATCTGAGGGTGCTTTCTGTGGATGTCCACTTGCATCAATTCTCAATGATATGTCTTAAACAGAGGGTACTTTTCCCCAGGTACCGAGACTCATTTTGAGGATCCAGAAATGTCCCATATACTGGGATCAGGATAGGAAGAAGGGAAGGGACCTTCTTCATGGATAAGTACACCTTGACTACTGTTGGGTTAGGGTGTGCATGTGTGTGTGTAGAATAAATAAATACTGTTGAATAAACTATGCTGAGACTTATGAACTGGGTATTATAAAACCTGTCCCAGAAGCAGAGAATGTCTTACAAACACCTTGTAATTCTGCAGGAGCTGAGGGTGTTAACTGGCTTGGGGTAAGCCATGCACCAGGCTGGCAATTTGGGGGTTCACTGCAGTGAGCCGCTTACTCCTCCAGCAGCAGCTCTGAGCTGTGTCCACCCTAGTGGCTACATCCTGGGCAGTTTCATCCTTCCCCTGTACCCATAACCAGCATCCTTTGGGCTTTCCCAGTCTAGGAGGCAACTACAGTGTAGAGAAAGGAGGCACTGGACTTGGAGTCAGAAGACCTGAGTGTGACCCTGGCCCTGCCTTCAGAGCTGTGTACCTGGGCCCAAGCCCTTCTAAGCTCATGTCCTCACAGTAACACATGAGTGATGTCTTCCTCATTCAACCTGACTCACAGGGCTGCTGTGAGAATGAAAAAGAGAAAGTGCTCTGTGACTTGTCAAGTTTAAAACAAATGCATCTATTTTTGAAACTGTTGTGTATGCAAAGCCCAACAAGACAGGTACCATATGCGGATTTAGGAAAATCCAATAGAACAAAATGCAATTCATTTGCCATACAAATCAGGAGGTGATTTACAAAAGGGTCCAATTCATCCACTTGGTGCATTTAATCTTCTTGGACCTGAAAGGACTCCAGGGGTGGGGAGAAGGAAATTAAGGACACCAACTCTCAGGAGGACAGCAAGAAGAAAGTGTTTGAATGAGAGTTAGAGGTATTTTACATTGAATAAAAGGTGGAGCTTGACGGTTGACCTAGGGAGCCTTATTCTGGAGACTGTGACTGAGGCCAGTACTGTAGGCCCAGACCCTTACCTGTAGGTGCTAAGTTCAGAGTTCTAAAATGAGACAGGGGAGATGCCTGAGTCTAGCTGGCACAAGTCTGCATGTGCCTCTGCCCACCTGTGGTCAGAAGGGACTGGGCTGAAAGTGGAGTTTCAGTCCTTGGGATGAAGTAGCGGGAGTCAGAACAGACTCCCTGTAGGTCTAGGAAAGGGATGAAATTTAGGTATGTTGTGATGCCATTGGATCTTAGGCAAAAAAGTTAGAGCCCAGGACCATGAGGAGGATACCCCTGGGAGGGCATCTCTTCCTGTAAGGCTTGAAAACAGGATTATTACTGATCCAGAGAAAGTAACTGGTGACAAAGTCCTTTCCAGATGAATGCAGTCCACATGTTTGGGACAAGCCAGGGCCTGCTGACTTTCAGTCCTAGGCCACACTCCTGGTTTGGTGGGTCTCACATTTCCCCAAAGGGTAGGGCCAGTCTTTAGGGCAATTTCAATCATTTGCTTTGTGAATCATCTGCTGATGCCAGGTTTCATTTCAGGCAGGAGACATGGTGGCTCCTGGCACATGTCAGAGCCTCTTCCCTGTCTAGCCAGCCTGTGCTGCACAGAGTGAGCACAGGCAATGGAGGACCCACCCTCACCAAGTCCAGTTCAGAAGGTAGTGTGC